AACACAAACACATTTCAACAACTCTGTAATCACTCTGCATTATGACAGTGTATATAGAGCAAGTGTAACTGAATTACTGGCACTCTCACAGTCTCCATGTACCACCCACTCAAATCTCTGGGACTATGTCTGTTTTTCATTCTAATAGCATCAAATCAGATTCAAACAAGAAAGGATTTCATGTCCCACTGGGATAAAATTGTAGAGGTAAATAACTTTCGCAGGATTTTTTTCCCTCTTTTGGAGGGCCGCATGATGAAACAGAACACAAATCAGATTACACTGAATTACACCATGCATGTGTATTAACATTGTATTTTAGATCAAAACGTGTGCATAAGATTTGTGTGTGTGTGTTATGTCAAACTAATAAGCTCTCAGTGTGAGTGTAACGTTGACAGTATATTCAGTCTTAGAATTACATTATGGATATTAAATTCCTTTCTGCAACGAAGGCTTCACAGACATTTGAGTCATATAGACGTCTTTCAACAGTACTGGAGGAATTGCATTTATGTTAAAACAAGCTTGTGTGAAAGCACTAAAAAGTGGCTCAGTGTGATTTAGCACGGGTTAAGAATGCTAAGCTCATGGCATTGGCAGCGCAAAGTCATTCTGAATGTTTAATCTTTAACAACTAGAACATTTAAATCCACAGCAGTATTCAAGAGTACACGACTAAAGCAGGTTCTACTTTAAAAAAAAAAATCTCTTATGACAGACTTCAACTTTCTTTGATGAGTCGTGTTGAGAACAAAAGGCGGCTATGTTCCTGCTTTTCAATGTGCAAAGTCCTCCTCCAATCTGTTAAAAAAAAAAAAACAAAACACAAAAAAACCCTCCTTCTTATCTTTAGCTATGGCTTTAGACTTCCTGCACATTTTGACACATATTGTGTGTGATCAATAAATAAGCATATGATTAAATTCAGCTGCATTTAGGAAAGCTTCATTCTCCGAGCTCCAGTGAGCAGGGTAAGCCCCAGTCTGACATTTGGACAGTGGAAAGCATCCTCACCCTGCATGAGAGAGAGGAGTAACGACTCTTCCTTTCTTTTTTCTTTCTTTTTTTTACCCCCAACCTGGGAAGCGTCTCCTGCCAATAAATTATTCTGAGTTCCTCCAAAGTCATTACGCATTTATTTTGATCTTGCATCATAATTCACAGCCTGCTGCACAATATATTTTCTCAAAAATGCCGGTAATTCTTTGGTGCAGAGCAAAGTTATGATTCATTTATACTGGAGTGACAGTATAATGCAGACACGTCAAAATCCATTAAAACTGTTCAATGTCTCAGGGTTTATTTTTAGATTCAATTGAGATTTTTACTGATGTTGAAAAATATACAGTGTGCTGTGTTTACCTCACCTTTGGAGAGAATGTGTTATGGTCCCAATTAATTTGTTATTCCTGTCACTGCGGGCATCGCAGCCGTCAAACCTGTCAGCGCTTCCTCCCCTTCATTTCCAGGAAGAATGGCATTTAATTTCACTGTAACTCTCTTATAACTAGATTCCGCATTCTGGAGAGGGCTTTTTATTCAGTGCTCCTTTAAGCTAAGCACATGCTGATTTGATTGCTTATCAGGGTGATATATAGAGCAAAATGCAGCCTGCAGCCTGCTCTTCTCACTTTCGTGAAAGATCATATATGGTTTAAAAGGCGTTCAATTATCCTGAGCCGGGCTGGATCAGAAAGAGTTTGGGAAGACTGAGCGCTTATTTTGATGCTCATTATGATGGTATAATCTGGCTGCTTAGCTCTCTCTGTGAATTGTGAATATTTGTTTTCACTGCACACACATACGGAGAAGGACAAGCATGCATACTAAGTGAAAGTACAGGCACAGTGTGCTATTAGAGACACAGCAAGTTAGACATTTTGACAGTCTTTGTGACAAATTATGATACTTTTATCCACCGCTTTTATCATACTCAGACTGTTTCAGTGGGACATCTTATGTCTATGCCATTACTCTAACTTTTACAGGTGTTAACAAAAATTAAATAAGTATATGAATAATTAATATTTATTTCAGTATTTATTAAGTTAGAAACACTTTCAAGTACAACATTTTTTCTACCACTATTTTTCTACACTCTAACATCAGGGTAATATTACATATAACTGTTTTGCTATGTTTAAAGATTAAAGCACAAGGTTTTATAATAACTTTCAACTTTTGCATATCATCTACAACCATGGGTAGACATTGCCTCTTACATGACCCCAACATTTTGGCCACATGCTTTGAAAATTATTTTGCATTATTTTTCTGTTTCAACAAACATGTTTGGTCAGACATAGAACTAATAGCATCAAATCAGATTTGGTGACCATGGTGGTCCCCTCTGCCAAGCTGGTCCTCCTGCTGTCATAGATGCTATTCTGTCAGGTGAAATTTGTTATATCGCTCTATGAAAAAGGTTTTTCAAAAACAAAGTGTTGAATTAGCTGGTGTTACACCCTGAAGCTACCACTTCAATAGCTAAACAGTACCTAATGACATAACCTAGATCAGAGGAGGGCAGCTCAGCAGGGAGGACCATCACAGTCACCACTAAAGCAATGTTTTAATGTATATTCTAATGTTTTAACGCAAGGTTTTAAATTAATATTCCCTTTTTCAAAACAACAGCTGACTGGTTTTGGTACAGAAGCATGCTCGTTGTACATTTTCATTGCAAATGCAATATACATATGATCGGAGGTTAGTAGACAAGCCGAACCTATACTCAAGTGAAACAATTAAAAATTGGGTAAAATAAGACTCTAGTAAAAGTAAAGGTACCTTCCCAAACACTATGAAAGTATTGGGTCAAAAAAAAGAAAAAAAGTATTGGGTAACATACAGAAGTGCAGTGAAACTACTTAGTACATTCAGGATACATCAGCACAGGAACTGGAGTTTGTCACGCACTGTTCTCCTGTAAAGCTCCAAAGTCAAAGGTGTCACCACTCTCAAAAGCAGTACAGATGTTGTAACCAACAACACATAATGAAATTAAACTCATAAAAGTAATTGGCAACTACATATGAACTAAAGTCACTAATATGTTTAAGCAGAAGTAAAAGTATCATCGTTTGAAAATACTCGGAAGAGAATGAATCTGTCAATATTTTACTTGGGTACATGTATTTCAGTAAATATAAGTAGGTACTACCTAAATCTGTATATGATAAATAGGTTTCTATGATCGTGGCCTCAAAACCTTAATTAAGATTATAGTAGCCGGAGAAATATTTTATATCTGTCTATAACTGTCCAACACTATTTATTCCCATAAAAACATTTGCATGAAAGAATGCAACAACAATGTTGCTGAATCAAAAGAGGAAATTTACCTATTGCATTTCCTGCTTTTGAAGCATAAGAAAAACTTGCAACAGAAAACATAATTTGATAACCTTAAAGATACTCAATTTTTTTTAGTTTTTCATACTAAATAAAAGTGAGGCCTGCCAAGGCTTTTGAGATAACATGTTACAAAATCAATCTGTATGTTACCAGAGAGCAAAAGAGGAAGCGAGGAAAGAAAGCAGCATGGAAAGGCAGAGGCAGGAAGGCAGAGTAAGCAAGGATAGGAGTATAATTTTTTTTTTCTTCCCTGCTGCAGCCTACAAGGATTTTTTGGTGTGCAGTTATGGTCCATCATTATTAAATGTCTCTTGTTGGATGGTAGAGGCGCTTTATCAAAAACAGCCATTCATCAGAGGCCCCGGGCAGACAGCTCTCATCTGACCTCTGCCGCAATAATGCCGCATCAACTAGGCCAACTACCCAGTTTAGCGGCAGAGCAGGGAGCAGCGGCCGGCTGCAAGATTAAGTGCACTGCTTCAGCTCCCTGTTCCCCCGGGCTCTGCCGCCTGATGTTGTATTGATTGCAAAAGTTTACCAGTAAGTATCACAAACAACAATAGCCAGGTCAACGATCGCTGATGCCTGAATGGCTATTCCCCATTGAGAATGGAGGATGGGGTGGAGAGGGGAGCACAGAACTTGGAGCTCGGGGCTAAAGCGGAGCCAGAAGCAGGGCTGCAAGAGGTGCAGCTCGAGGGTCGACGGCGCCGGATGGCTCCTCCTGACATTTAGGAAAGCGATATGTCAGAGCGGAGTGCGGAGGAGTGGGAGGCCGGAGGATAATTATAAGCCTTTGCATTATAAAAGGCTCAATCGACAAACTGTCCTCCCGCCTACCACACACCGCACAGGCCTCTTACAGCTCTTAAGCACACCCCACCTACAATTTAATTGCTCTGTTATCTTTTTTTTTTTTTTAAATATCTTACTTTACAACATGTACCATGCCTCCCATTCCACCAATTCAGCTCTGCTCTCATGCTCAAACAAGCTACAGTATTAACAGTGAAAGTAATGCATAAACAGACATGAAAAAAACAGACCAAAGCAAAACTATTCCACTGTAAACCAGAGACTGGCATATTAGCAGCACCTCCAGATCTACATGTATGTTGGTGCATTAACAGCTTAAACGTTATGCTTATTTTCAGTTATTAACCTAAAGGCTTATTATCCAGCAACTTTTATGAATAACTCAGTAAATACTAAGGTCCAAACAATATGAAATGACTGATTTTAAGGAGCTAAAATTTCTCATGACCAATAATATGGTCAAAAATCGAACTGTCAAATATCCTTGTCAGTTCTCAGCTGTCAAATTTTTAAATGTTTCTTCAAGGACTGTGTAAGAACATGACTTCGCTAAAATCCTCACAAATCTTCCTTATTATAAAGGAGATAAATAACAAAAAATAACCAATAATCTGTGACAATATCAGATGATATTTTCTGCCAAGTGATTGGCACTGGTCAAGCTCTAATAACTACTGTGAAACTAATATGAAAATTTAGTAATTTAGTTAAGTGAGTGAACAGTGGAAGTGTGGACACACTGATCAGTCCTGAGAGCTTAAAGAGTTAAAGTGAAAGTTGGTAGAAAGCAGAATTCAGCCTGAGACAGTCTGGGTTCGGCTCACCAGGTCTGGCCTGAGCGATGGCATCTCACTGGCTTCTGCACTGAGGCCATCTCACAGCCCTTCATCACACCGCCCGCGCGTGTCATCATCAAGGGACGGCTGCTAGCGCGTGTCATCATCAGGGGACTGCGGCGCAGTGCTGTGGCCGGCTCTGTGGGTATAATCATGTGATTTGATGGGGTGACAGAGTAATGACACACCGAGCGGTGGAGTGTACAGCATCCCCCTGCTGGACACCATCACAGCACATAACACCTCTCTCCTCTCTTTGTGCTGTCTCTCGCTCAAACACTCTCTCTTGCTCTCTGGGCCTCTGCGGTGAAATCAAGATTAATCGCTGTGCAGTGGGACACTCTTAATGTCCACAGTCAGCTATATTTCATTTAATGAGGTGCATTAACGCTAATTAAACTACTTAAAACTATAAGCTGGTTTTTACTGCCTCCCTTTTTCTTGCTGGCACTGACTGTACAAGTCTGTCTCTTTGTCTGTCTCTCTGTCTGTCCATGCCTCCAAGGAATAGTTAGGCCTGTTAGAACAAAGACGAGGAAGACGGCTGTTTGTTGTGCCATCATAATGTCTTAAATCTGTCTGGTGTTCCTAAAATCCCAGTCCCACATGGACACCTCACATAGCAGACGTTTTTTGCAGATGCTGTATTAGAAAGGTTTTCTGAGCTCTAGACTGGGCAGTTGCTCATCTTTAGATGGAGTACTAATGGAAGACAAACAGGGAGATAATTATTTTATTGTTTGTAAGCCTTCATAGTATGAACTGTGCAGTCTGGGAGGATAAAGCCCTAATTTAGCTTGAAAAGATACAGCCCCCTTACGTACCCCCTCTCATGTTCCCTTGAGTTCTTGAGTTGTGCTCAGTGACTTCCAAACATTTTGAAGAAATGGTTTGGTCTATACTGGTGTCATTTGTCAATGTATCGAAAGACAAAATCAACACTGAAAACAGAACTACATTTGAAATGCTGATGGATTTTCAGGACGTCTTCCTCGTAAATTTGCCTAATATTTCTAATGCTTTAAAATGGTATATTGGTTGATTATTTGCTAATAACTATAGACAATATCAAACAATTCAAGCAAACATCTAAAATTACCTAACTAAATGGCAAAATGTGTTTTTCTAAATTGACTTCTATACGCACACTCAGAAAAAAGGTACTACACTGTTACTGGAGTGGTATCCTCAAGAGTACAGCTTCTGTACTTTTTGTTACCTTTTGTTATGGAATATAATTGTACCGTGTTTTTTTTATTTTTAAGTTTTTTTTTCTCCATACACTGTGTGGCATTTATTTTTTATTTCAAATCATAAAGTGAAGGTAGTGTTATCTTTAAACTCAATTAAGATACATTATTATATTATACTTGATGAATAAAAATGTACAGTACCCTTTTTTCTGACAGTGTCTTTTATTTGTCCTATAAATATCTAATAATGTATGCACTGTATTTATCACATATATGCATCACCTTTATGTTTAAGTTAGTGGTATTGAAACAGTATGCTATCATAAGCTGTTGTGCTGTAGTTACATTACGGATCTGTAACAGTAGGTGTTTTGTTATTTTACTATTATGTACTGTACTGGTATTGTGGTATGGCTGTAATGCTATTGTTATTCAGCCACTGCATGGAAGTGTTGGTATGGCTGTAGGCGTGCTGTTAGGTCTATATCCTTGTTGGCCCACACCAGTGGTGGGGCAGAAGGGGCCTCAGGCACCACTGGAATTAATTACAGACAAAAGCGATGCTGTTTGGAATTGTCATGCCAAATTTATCACTGGCCTTTTAATGTGCCTCATCTGAGCCTCTCCAAACTAGCTGACTGCCTGGGGGCAAAGACCTCTTCCTCTTCCAGGGCTGTGTGTTTGTGCGTGTGCATGTGTGTGTGTGTGTGTGTGTATGTGTGAGTGTAAAGGAGGGGACCCACATGTGCTGGAGGCTAGGCTAAATCCAGGACTGGAGGCAGTGAACACTAACAATGCCCCTAGCAAATTCAGCATCTACACCACAGCCAGCTCCCCCCAGCTTGCCCAAGCTCCACCAGCCTCCCTCTGGGAGCAGGGTTCAAATCCAACTCTGACTCCTTTAATTCTGTCATTTTGGTGATGATAATACTTTATGGGGTTGGATGTGATGTCAGTAGCTGTTTGTTTTCTTCAACACTACATCTCTACAGGAGATAAAAACTGCAGCTGTGACAAGCCTAAAAATATTCATATCAAAGCATTACAGAAGAAACAAACACATACAAAGAAAGGGAAAACATGTACACATATATAGTGCAGTCTCTAAACTTGCAGAAAAAAAGAAATTCCTCTTAATCCAAAGCATACCACCTCATCTGTGGCATGGACAGGTATGGCTGTCAGTGAAACTGATTCACTTGTCTTTACTGGCGATGTGTTGGTGGCAGCTGCAAGAGAATCTCAACTGTTCAGATTCAACTACATATCTCCAAATTCAGTAGATAAAACTTGACATTGGAGAAGGACAGTAATGTGAAACATGCTGCTAAAACAACTATGTAGGCTTTCAGGACCAAAAAGTAAAATGCTGTTTACTGGCCAAGTCAGTCACCTGATTGAACCCAACTGAGCATATATTTACTCAAGACAACACTGAGGGCAGAAAGGCACTGAAACACAAAAGAACTGAAAGGATTAGAGACATGGCAGAGCATCACCAAAAAAACTTCCTAGTAACGTGTCCGGTGACGTCTATGGATCAAAGACTTTAGACATTAACTGCAAAGAATTTGCAAAGAAATACTAAACCTGACAATATTGTTTAAGGTTTATCGGATTACTTGTGGGCAGACTATGTATAAAAATGCTGTGATTGCTATTAGGTTTATCCAATAAAGTTGTGTCTTTGACAACTAAAAGTCTGCACATTAACCTGACTTTAACCTCTCTTTAAGTCCAGTGTGGTGAAGTATATCAAGCAAAACAACGTATATGTTTCACTTTTCAATTACTTAGAAATTTTACATTGCAGTAATAATTAGACTGTTTTTATTACAATGCCATAAAACTGAACAAAGGCCCAAAACACTAAATCAATAGCTCAAGGTAAAAAAAAAAGTATGAAAAGTGTAAATGTCTAAGAAAATTCCTGCAACTTTGAATTTGCACACAAAACATTTTGGATTAAGAGCACAGAGTAGGATGTACCAGGAAGAATATTTTCCTGGTTTTTTTTTTTGCTTTGTGCCCAAGAGCAACACTGGTCATATTCCAAAAACAACACTATTTTTTTACTTAAAGAATTCCTGAGAGGTACCATGTTAGTCAGGTCTCTTAAAGGAAACTGAGTGAGTGCAATATCAGGCTAATTCAGTCCTGCTCCGGCCAGAGCCAGCAGAGCAGAAACATATTTAAAGGCATTTAGATGTTCTCCTTAATGCTACTGTTATGACTCCTTATATCAGAGGAACACTGAGATTTCCCCAATGCACACTCCCACATAAGCCACCATTATATTTCTGCTTCACCAGCACAAAGCCTAATGCTTTAGTTCAATAATAATACAGAGGGGACAGCTTATGCAGGGTGACACAACTATTGGTCTTGTAGCAAGTGCATAAGACTGGCCTATTTTCCATGTGCGATTTACCTCATCAGCAGATAGACGACTAAACTTAAAAGCAAAAATGAGGGATAACACTGAGCAAGAGCTGACCTGGTAGAAAAGCATTTTCAGAAACAAATGGAAAAGTGACTGCCCTATTAACAAGGAAACAACTGGCTGAGGCTACACTAGAACTATCTGGTTTCTTGACCATCTCGGAATACCTCATGAGCAAAACAGAGCAGCTTTCCACTTCAACCAAGTGGAGAGCAGCAGCTGGCCTAAAAAGCTCATATTTTCCCTTCAGGATGTAGCAAACAAAAGAAAGGAGTGAAAAGAGAAGAAAAGAGCAGTGAAGGACACAGCAGGCTACTCTCAGAGGACTTGCCTTTCCGCCTGTGATTGTCATGCAAGCCTGGTTGTAAGTAATAATGTGGCCTTTAATGATGGAATGATAGACCTGCCAAACAGTGGCTGTGCTGCCATACACAGCCTCACGTCCTCTCCTCATGCACACACACATACTCACACACACGCACACACACACTCAAATGCACACACTCACACACAGCCCAGAAGGGACATATTAGCATATCCTGCTCAATTCTCAGTCCACGTTAACATAATCCATATTTGTTGGGTAAGGTCCAACAGTGAGGCCCCCTGTACAGAGGGCGTACGATGCTATGACACTCTTCAAAGGCAGCCCAGCCCGCCACACGACGCATGCTTGACCAGCAAAGCAATTCAGAAATGCAAATGGCAGGGCAGACTCCTCTCTACCTCAGACTCACGGGGACAAATCCCTTTTGGCGAGGCATCTCTCTGTCTGACGTAGTATTCCTCAACAACCAGCCAGACTGCATGTGATCTTTATTCTAAACACTGCCTGAGAAAGAGGAAGACAGTTAGGAGGAAAGAGAGAGAGAGTAATAAAAAGAAGCAAAAAGAAACAGAGAGAAAAAAGATCAAAAGAGACGTAAAGCCAAAGAGATCCAGAGAGATAGGAAGGCAGACAAGGCTGACAGAGAGAGGATGGATGGACTGATGCACAGTGGAAACGTATATCGTGGTCTGACAAGACACCCCAACAGATTGCTTATGAAAATAATGGACATTGTGTTCTCTGGGCCAAAGAACAAAAGGACCATCTAAATTGTTATCAGTGTAAAGTTCAAAGGCCTAGGTCTCCTGTCATATGGGGGGCACTAGTGGGTAACTTGCACAACTGTGAAAATACCAAAGCACTGAAAGATATAGGCTTACACACATTTTGGAGCAACATATGCTTCTTTTTAGACACTGTCTTTTTCAGGGACATCCATGCTTATTTCAACATGACGACACCAAGAAAGCATTATGTGCATGTTATAAAACCATGACTGTGTAATCAGGGACAGAGTGCTGATGCTAAACTGGCCTGCCTGTCTCCTATTGGAAATGGTGAAATGACAAAGAACAAAATATGACAAAGAAAACCCCATATGGTTGTGCAGCTAAAGACTTGCTTAACTAAAGAA